ACTTAATTTAAAAAGAAACATACCTTTGTAAGAGTAAAGCTTTTCTTTAAATTAAACAAACAAAATACCCACTTCAGTATCCCTTGCCTGGAGAATCCCATAGACACAGGAGCCTGTCAGGCTACAGGTCATACAGTAAAAGAGTCACACGCAACTAAAGCAACTGAGCACAAAGAGATGAAATGAGCTAAAATTAAGGTAAAATGGGGTCATTAGGGTGGGCTCTGATCCAACTTGACAAGTGTCCTCATAAGAAGAGATCAGGATACAGAGAGTAGAAGTGTCCACACAGAAGAATGACCACATGAGGACATGGTGAAAACGCAGTCACCTGCAAGCAGAGAGACTTCAGGAGGAAGCAAACCTGCCAGCACCTTGGTCTTGGACTTCCAGCCTCTAGAACTGCAAGAGAACACAATTTTGTTGTTTAAGCCACCCAGTCTGTGGTCCTTGTTATGGCAGCCTTAGCAGGGCAGATTCACTAGAAATCTGAGAAACCTACAAGACAATCCCATAGAACCATCCAGAAGGAAGGAGGGCAAATGAGTCTGAAGTAGGGACAAATAAGTTGAAAGAGAGATACACAGGTTTAGGACTGTTCAGAATTTCCCTGACAGTTATAGCCACAAGAATGGATGATACCATCAAGAGTGATGGTCAGTTTGATGAGCCATCTTAGCCAGGCTACAGTCTTCAAATACTCAAACACTCACCAAGATGCTATTCTGCAGGTGTTTTGTAGATGTGGTTAAAGTCCATAATCAGTTGATCTTAAACAAAGGAGATGATCCTCAATTACCTGGGTGGGCCTGGTCTAATCAGTTGAAGGGTCTTAACCGCAGGGCATACAGTTTCCCTGAGAAAGAAGAGATTCCACCTTGGAAGTGCACTCTGCCTCTCCTGACGCCTATCCTCAGGGCCACAGACCTGACTTGCCAGCCCTACAATCACCTAAGCCAAGTCTTTGTAGTAAACCCCTCCACACACACACATCCGCTACTGGTTCTGCTTTTCTGGTTGAATCCTGACTAACATGAAGAGAGTGCAAAGAAAGCTAAGAAGGCTCAGGAAAAGACAATTATTTAGGACACATCAGGGAAGAGAAGCCTGTGATGGAGACTGACGAGAAACCCAGTGTGTGTGGAAGGAAGTCAAGGAGAAGGTGAAATTGCTCCAGCATGTTGAATCCCCATGGACTTTGAGGGACAGCCAGCCTGAGACATCACCTGGGATGTGAGACCTACATGTCTGAGAGAGGAGCATCAGGGAGGAAACTCAAGTGCCCTGACTGAGGAACAGATGGACGACACCAAAGCGATGGCAGGGGTTATTCCTCCAAAAGGTTTACACAAGGCAGACACGAGGAAGAGAGGACGTTAGCTAAGGGAACATAATCTGTTAAATGGGTATGGGGAAAAATATCCATGGGCTTTCCAGATGGCTCCAGTGGTAAAGAATCTGCCTGCCAAAGCAGGAGACACAAGAGATGCAGGTTCGATCCCTGGACCAGGAAGATCCCTTGGAGAAGGAAATAGCAACCTACTGCAGTATTCTTGCCTGGAGAATCCCATGGACAGAGGAATCTGCCTGACTACAGTCCATGGGGTCGCAAGAGTCGGACACAGCTTAGCAATTAAACCACCAACCACCAAGCAGCTTTACCAGCCTGGCATACATTAGGTGTTCATTAAATGTTAATCGTTTTCACCAAGGGAGGAGGCAGCCATATGTGTTGGAAGTTGTGGGTAGGGTGGGGAAAGGAACATAAGGTATCAGAGGTGGGGATGCCTGGCAATGTCCCAGGCGTGGGCTGGGTGGGCATCACAGCATTCACTGCAGGTGACCTGCAGAGGAGAGGTGAACAGAACATGGGGTTAGGACCCTGAGGGTCACCATGGGCACCCCAGGGTGTTGGCGGGACCCAAGGACATGAATCAAGGGTTGAGGTAAGACCTTCCTGCACCAGGACCACAAACCCCTATACCTGGAGAGAGGGAGGCTGCAGTGCTTAAATTTTAAGGTGTTCACAGAGAAAGGTTACAGAACCCTAATATTGGGCAACTATAGCAGCTGCTACACATTAAAGGAGGAAAATCCTTGAAACATTAGATGATCTTCAGAAGATACTGGATGACATTCCAGGTGCTCAAGGGAGAAAAGCTATTTGTAAGGCAGGTCTACAAACAGTCAATGCTTCTTCCACAACCCTCACATCCTCCCAGGTCTGAGATGGCCATCCCAGACCTGCACCTGCCCCACCATCTGAGCATCTAAATTCCATCTCTAGGGTGATTTTCTAGATGACTCAATGAGGACCCTTTTGCATGTTCAATATTTTAAAATAACATCCTTTTCAAAAGTGATCCTCCATCTTTTCAAGTGACACTGTTCAGCCAAGGTCAATCACAAAAACCGCACTTGAACTCCACCCTCTGGTTCTGCTCTGAGTTCTGATGAGCACACAGCAACTAATGCCTGGCTCCAACCTTCAGTCCTTTCTTCGCCTTAGCAAAATAAACCCAAGTGCATCAGGTTTTCTTCTGAGGTTTTATTTTTCAATTCTCTGGCCCTGTATCAGTCTGAACAAATTCTAAATGCTTCTTAATGCTCTTTGCTATAGATTTAAGCCAACTATTGTTTCGATATTTGGCTTTCCAAGATGATAATAGAACTCTTCACTCCTCAATTACTATCAAATGGAGTGGGCAGATGGATAATATTATTACATGAACTCTATAACTCTTTTTATATTTTTAGCTAAATTTATCCCCTTTCACAAGTTTTAGTCTTGGATGTCTTTGATATAGACATATTTAGCTTACACTTATATGTCTTTGTATTTATCTTAAAAATTCTAGTCAATCTATAATGATTCTTCTTTCTTTCTGACATGTCTAATGCTCCCTGTGGAGTTCTCTTTTCACATATTTTAGGATTCTTTATTCTTTTTAATCCTAGACTTCAGGGCTATACAAAGAGTTATAGAACAACTAAAAAGCCCTTTCAAACTCAAAACTTCAAGTTCTCTTTCAAGTGACAGTAAGATGTATTTGTTTCACTCAAGCACTTAAGTATGATGGAGCAGGAACAGAGTGGGTTTGCTCCTGGCATCCCCTTTCTCTGTAACAATGTTTTATTATAAAACAACGGCCTCTATAGCAAAGATCTCCTAGAAATTTTAATTATAGTTTAGAGTACAGCTGTCTTTTCTTTTCTCTTGGTTACTATAATCTTCTCTCTAATGGAAAGCAGCCCTGAAATTACTAATGATTTGGAAGAACAATTTGCTTGTAAAATATTACTTCTTCTGTAGCCTGTACTCATCACTGATAGAAGTCCAGTGGAAGGCAATAAGCAATTGTGGAAAGCAAGGTCACCAAGCTATAGACACTAAATGTAGGTGAAAAGAGCTTTATAATATGTATTTGGAGGCTTAAAAGATGGTTTTCAGTTCTGTAACACAGATGAGGATAAAAGAGGTGACATTCCCAAGTCAGAGAGAGAGAGAGAAAGGAAACAGGTATTTGAAAGATTCATGCTACCGCAGATACTGTCTTTAAAGTTCATAATAAATAAAGAGTATGTTTCAAACCTAAAGTCAAGATTAAAAAAAAATATTAGTTCCTCATCCTTTCTACGCCTCTAAGCAGAGTGACTTGCATCCTTCCTTTAGTCACAGGAACGTCTCATGTCTGTATTGACTCTCAAATGTGCAGCTGGAAAGCATGAAGTCTCCCTGGAAGGGAAACTTCTCAGAGGGCATCCAGACAATGGTAGGATTTCTGTTTTTTTCTTGTTTCCTTTGTTATGAGAGGCCAAAATAGAAATCACTTCACTTTCCAGAAAATTAGCATATATGTGGATATTTAGGTATTTATTATTGGAAACTGACTTCAATGTGCCCATAAAAGAACAATAAAAAGAAATCTCCAGTTCCCACAGTGGGAGATAAAAAGCAAAACAATTTTTGGAAACCTCCGGCACCCACACTTTAGGAGACAAATACTAGATGGTTTAGGTACCAAAGTGACTGGCATTCTAAACAAATAAGATGGCATGTCAGTACTACAAGGCTCACATGTGGATACCTAAATAGTATAGTGGATTTGCTTCATAAACCATAACACCATTCTGATGAGTCACAGGAAATCCTGAACTCTCTTCAGGGCATTGAGTGGGCATGAATTTTATCTAAAGAAATATTAGCCAAGGGCAAAACAAAGTGCTCCAAACTGGTGCAGGCAACCAGGAAGAAGGCCAGGCTAGTTTCCTTCTCAGGAGACGCTGACTTTGTCCCTTACAGGGACACCCCATTATCTCCATCCGAAGGGCCTTCTGCAGGGATTTGGGGTGCAGGGGAGGGTCACTCTTAAACCTTCAAGTCACCTGCGGTGGCTTAGATTCATCCTGTGCGAACCTCGCAGTCCCACAGCAAAACGTCTCCTAGGAAATCTTACTTGGAAGAGGCCGCCCTCTCAGCCTCTGCGGAGCCCGGACGGAATGGGGTCCCCACTACCCTGCTGGCGTCCCTCCGCGCGTCCTGCTGACCAGCGCGACCCTCCCTCCGGCTGCGGCCAGTGTAGCGCGCCGGGACCCCGCGCTCACCGGATGATCACGAACATGACCAGCGAGTTGCCCACCAAGCCCACGACGAACACCACGGAGTAGACGGCCGTGATGATGACCAGGATGACCGGGGAGATGTGAGCCGGCTCCAGCAGCACGTCCTCCGAGCCCGCGCTGCCGTTACCGTCCGGCGCGGCCCAGCCCGGGAACCAGCCGCTGCCGTTGGGGGGCAGGCAGGTGCTCGGGGAGCAGGTGGGGCCCGGCTCGCCGCGGAAGATCTGGACTGGGGGCTCCATGTCCGGCGGCTGCGGCAGGGGGGCGAGAACAGGCGGCACCTGCGGGGGCAAGAGAACCGACTGGACCCGGGAAGCGAACTTTGGCCGCGTGCGAGGCAGCGCGCGAGCGCGGCGGTGTCGGGGGCCCCAGACCCGCCGATGCCCACCCCGGCCGGAAGACCCCGGGGCGGCACAGGGGCACGGACCTCTCTCTGGGTGCCACCCCGGCCAGCAGCCGCGCCGCGGGTACCAGGAGGGGCGGAGATCGCGCTGTCCTGTGCCCCGGTGCCTGAAACCCCCCACCGTTTCCTAGGCACGGCTCCCGGGAGGAACTGTCCCCAGTCTGCGGCCCGGAGACCCCAGGGACAGGAGACCCCTGCAGCGCAGAGCCCTCGCTGCCAAGGACCGCGCTTCGAAATCCCAAGGCTCACCTCCGGCTCCAGAGATGCGCGCAGCGGAACAGCGATGCTGGACCTCGCGGAACTCAGCGTTCCCGAATCCCACGCAGCCCGCGGGTCGCCGCGCATCCGCAGCCCCGCGCCACTAGCTCTCAGACCCGGACCCCGCGCTCTGGCCGCCGACGCCGCTCCCGAACCCCCGAGCGCGTCCCCGCCACTCCGCGCGCGGCTCCCACGACCGGCGGCGGCTGTACCCGGCTGGACGCCGCGAGTGCGTGCGGGCCCCAGATATCCCTCCCCTCCCGACCCCGCCCCTGCCGCCCAGCCTACCCGGCTGCGCGCCCCCCGCCCCGCGCCCCCCGGCTCACCCCGAGCACAGCCTCCGTCCATGGCCCCCGGCCTCCCTGGTGCCTGACTGTGAACCTCTGGGCGATTCAGACTTAGGGTCAAGAAGGATGCGCCTGTCCAGTGAGAGTGGACACCAGTGTTCCTCACAATGTGTCTATTTCTGCTGCTGGCCTAGTGCTCAGAACACATCTGCTTTCGGGTGAGGAAGAAAATGGTAATTTTATGTGAGTGACCCCTCCAAATACAGTAGCAAAATGATCCAATTGGGAAGACCCAGAGGGATCGGGTGGAGAGGGAGGTGGGAGGGGGGATCGGGATGGGAATACATGTAAATCCATGGCTGATTCATGTCAATGCATGGCAAAAACCACTACAATATTGTAAAGTAATTAGCCTCCAACTAATAAAAATAAATGGAAAAAAAAAAAGAATAAAACCAGACCACACGGTTTTAACGGTTGATTTTGGCCACCCAATGCGAAGAGCAGACTCACTGGAAAAGACCCTGATGCTGGGAAAGATTGAGGGCAGGAGAGAAGAAAATGACAGAGGATGAGATGGTTGGATGGCATCACTGACTCACGGACTTGAGTTTGAGCAAATTCCAGGAGATAGTGAAGGACAAGGAAACCTGGCGGGCTGCAGTTCATGCAGTGGCAGAGTCGGACACCACTGAGCGACTGAATGGCAACAAATACATAAATAGAATATTGTGTCCCTTTCATTCTCCTGGATGCACGGGATGCACCCTGCGGTACCACCCGTGTGTCCTGCTGTCACCTGCCGAAGATAGACATGCCCCTCCTCAGGCCAGGCCACAGTGAGGGTGCAGGTTGGTGACAGGGTCCCTTCTCCCAAAGCCATCACATTCCCTCATGAGAGCATGTTTTCTCTGACACCTCCAAGAGCTTGAGCCCCAGAGAGAGAAATCCCATCCTTGTTCCTCCACATGACTTTGCCAGTGCGGGGAGCAGACTCTGCTGGTGAGAAAGGCCCTCAGCACAGTTACCAGAGAGTAAGAACGCAGGACTCAGTCACTGTGATGAGACCCTGAGGGAGACTGGGGAAGTCCCCCTCTCCCAGCTGCTGTGTGAAGGCAGGTGCCAGGAGACCAAGGTACCGGAGTGTCCTGAGTGGACTCCTGTCTAAGACTGACTGACCTCTGGAGACAAACAGAGCCCTCTGGCTCGTGTCTGCACCCACACCTGGGCACTCATGGCCCAGACAGTCATCCCACCCATCGACGGGCAGCAGAAGGGAGCTCCCACCTCTTCTGCGACACAATGACCCCCCAAAAGAGATAGACCCCCCAGAGTTGCATCCCAGCCTGGAAATGTGCAGCTCTTCTGAGAAGTGTGATGTGAGCCCAACTGTATCCCTTCATCCCTGGTGCCCTCGGAGGTTTGAAAATGCTTTATCACATCTTGTTCAGTCACTCAGTCGTGTCCAACTCTGACCCCATGGACTGGAGCCCGCCAGGCTCCTCTGTCTGTGGAATTCTCCAGGCAAGAATACGGGAGTGGGTTGCCGTTTCCTGCGCCAGGGCATCTTCCCGACCCAAGGATCGAACCTGTGTCTCTTGCATCTCCTGCACTGGCAGGTGGATCCTTACCACTGTGGAACAGTGTCATGCACTGTTATAATACAAAGGCATCTTAGTGAGCCCCATACCTGCGTGTCATACACCTGCCTTTCCCGTGGTCATGGAGCAGGGGCTTAAACTTGAAATGTCTCACTCTGAAACTCTGGATCAAATTGAATTCACGGAGTTAAAACTCCAGTGCCAATCCCACGTCAGGCACCAGGTGATGGAGCGAGAGTTTCAAGGGAGGACAAGAATGTCAGAACAATCATGGCTGCTGCTGTAACAGCTTAGCAGTAAGGACACTGGGGGCCGGCTGGCAAAGGCTCTGTCCTTCTTTGAGGGACTGACTGATTCCGGGCTTAAAGGGAAACTGGTTTCCCAGGGTCTGAGGGACTCCTGGCTTTCTGTTTTGCCCTTGAATGGCCAGAGTAGGGGAGCCAGGCAGGACCCCCAGAGTGTGGCCAGGGCCTCTCACAGAACAAAACCCTGCTACCCCCTGCCTCACTCACTCAGCCTCACCAAATCCACTATTCTGTTTGCAAAGAGTGAAAAAACATTTTGACTTAATAAATATTCCTAATGATATTACTGCTGATGTTCCCCATACACTGTCTGGCATCTACAAAACACGTATTAACTGAATGAATTAAGAATATGTCATATTTCACATACAGCACAAGGAACTCTGCTCAATGCTATGTGGTAGCCTGGATGGGAAGGGAGTTTGGGGAAGAATGTGTGTGTGTGTGTGTGTGTGTGTGTGTGTGTGTGTGTGTGTGTGTTCAGTTGTGTCTGACTCTGCGACCCCATGTACTGTAGCCCACCAGGCTCCTCTGTCCATGGGATTTTCCAGTCAAGAATACTGGAGTAGGTTGCCATCCCCTTCTCCAGGGGATCTTCCCAACCCAAGGGTTGAACCCACATCTCTTGCATCTCCTGCATTGGCAGGTGGATTCTTTATCACTAGCACCACCATGGATACATGTATATGTATGACTGAGTCCCCTTGCTCTTCTCCTGAAGGTATCACAGCATTGTTTATTGGCTATTCCCCAATACAAAATAAAACATTTTAAAATTAATTAATTAATTTCTTAAAGAATATGGCATACTTCACAGTAAAAAAGCAAATGCAGATGTGTGGGCTTGGAACCAGAAAAGATGCTAATGGAAGGTTAGCATGAATTTGAAAGGTAGCGTTAACTCGAGACAGTAATTATATTTGATTAGCATTTTCTTTCGCTTTTTCTTACATAAGTCTTCAAGCAAAATTATAAGCAAAGTGGCGGAAGTCAAGGGATAACAAATCTAGAGAAAATGGGTTGGTGGATTCCTTTGTATCCTATGAAGCATAGTGCACTTTTAACATCAATGAATTCACTGAACTTAATAAAACTTAGTTCATGACTCCAAGGAGTTCAGACTCAGATCAAGCTTTATATTTGGAAGCAGTGCTTGCTAGAAATGTTTCTCGTTTTGCAATCAATTTCATGATGATTCAGTTAGCACTCAGAGTCAGGAAAAAAAAATCCCCTGAGTGGAGAAGCCATAATGGCTCCTGAATCTAATACCATCTCTGCTGACTCTTTTGTCTTATAAGACCTCCTCCAATTTCTAGCATTTTTAAAGCATGTACTGTTAAAATTAAAAACTTTTAGACTGCACCCAAAGAGTGATGTTTTAAAGGACTATCAAAGCCTAGGTCTACAAGGTACCAAAAAAAAAAAAATACAGTGTTTGAATAATCAACCCTTAGAAAGAGATAATTACAAGAATATTTTGGGTGACGCAAAGGTGAATCCTCTTTGACTTCATTTCTGACCTCCCCCCATTCCCCAGCTTAACAGGATAGTTGAACAGTAGAGGAAGTAGGTAAAGAGATGCAAGTAAATAAAATTATAACCAATATATAAATATTTTCAATAAAACAGCAAAGTTTGAACCCAGCTTTATTAGAAAAGTACAATTTTTCTTTCTGATTTCAAAGTCTATGCAAATCTATTAAAAGATCATAGACTTCCCAGGTGGCCCAGTGGTGAAGAACGCACCTGCCAAAGCAAGAGACAAGGGTTCTATCTCTGGGTGGGGAAGATGCCCTGCAGGAGGAAATGGCAACCCACTCCAGTATTCTTGCTGGAGAATCCCATGGACAGAGGATCCTGGCGGGCTACAGTCCACTGGGTCACAAAGAGTTAAACATGACTTAACAACTAAAAAACAGCAATAGCAGTATAAAAATTTGTACACGCCTTTGATTTTGCCAGAGTACTTCCCATGATAACATCTCACTTGGTCCTGATATCTTCCTTGTGCTTCATGCAGAATAACCCTTTCTGTATTTTATAATTAAAAGCAGGCTTTAAGGGGTTAAGTTGCATAACCATGATCACTTAATAAGAGGAGGTACTAGGGGCAGGATTGTTCCTTTAAATCCCACCCTGTGATCTTTTCACTGTCCCAGTTTGCACAGATACTGTAGTTTGAATGAAAGCAGAGATGAGTCACACAAGTAAAATTAAAATGTGAGCAGAATGTCAAGTGTTTGCTCTGACATTGAAGCATGAGCTGTGGCTTCGTTGTCCGCTGTGCAAGAGGTGGTTAATCTATTTTATGAAATGGAGATAAATACAATGGAAATTATGTTGAAAAATTACACCAATGTTAGTATGTTGAACTCCCGTTTTTAGGGGGTATATTCAGACAACTAAAGCAGAAGGAGGGTAGACTGATCAATTCCACGGTCGATTCAAAGAAAAATACTAAATAAGTGAAGACTGCACATATGTTAATTCTGGGAAAAATAATTGATATGAACAGGATTACATAGCACACATGAAAGAAATACAATTATTTATAATTATAGAAATTAATAGTGTGATTTATCATTTAGTTGGTAAACATTAAGAAAATATCATTTATAGTTAAAATGGGCAATGATTTTCCTCATTTAAAAAGGTGTGACTTGCTTATACATTCAGTTCAGTTCAGTCACTCAGTCGTGTCCGACTCTTCTCGACCCCATGGACTGCAGCACACTAGGCTTCCTTGTCCATCACCAACTCCCGGAGCTTGCTCAAACTCATGTCCATTGAGTCAGTGATGCCATCCAACCCTCTCATCCTCTGTTGTCTCCTGCTCCTGCCTTCAATCTTTCCCATACATTTACATGGACCAAAAATCAGAACTATTTACAAAGATATTGTAAGTAGTCTTATCTCTGTTTTCCACATCCAACCTCCATTTCATATAAGTAAATTATTTTTTTTGTTTCCTTTGTATTTTGAGGATGTGCCTTTATGCACACGCAATTAAATAGCTTTCTCTACATTTTTAAACACAAAAAATTCATTGTTCTGCACCATGTGGTCTTCATGTAACAGTATATACCACAGATAGTTCTATGTCAATACATAGTTTTCTCATTCTCTTTAAAATAATTTAACATTTTCAGAGCATTTCATTTCATGGACCTATCAGTTTGT